CTTGAGAATTAGCATCCCTTCTACTGTTCTTTAAACAAATAAATCAAGCCATATTTGGAACTACTAAGAGTATCTTCTCAGGCACAATATATAAAAGATACTGCAAGCTGACTTTAGAATACAAAGTCAGCAAATAGCAAAGTGCTCCTCCAATTTTATAACCTATAAACCTAAACATCTATGTATAACAACATTTTTCAGCACTTCGAACTTTACAATTTAATAACCCTCCAAATATTTCTGTATCTTGGGAGGAAAGGAAAACCCCCTCACAAGCTACAATATAGGATGCTCATTGTATTGATTTAACAGTTACTGCAACACCAATTTATTTTAGCAATTAATTGCCCAAGTACAGCTACCCTCAGCAGTGCCATACTATATTCTATTGCTCAAGAGCAACTGAACAAGTGTGAATCCAGATAAGAGTCTGCATCTTTCAAGTACAGGCAACCAACACAAAGAATTAACATTTATGGTAGTCCCTCACTCCTACTACAGCTACATAGCAATTCTACCTGTCATCCAGCAATAGCCTATTCTACTGCACTCAGAGAATGGCTGCCTTTAGTCTTCAGCTTCAAATTATTAGGTTGAATATTTTATACAGACAGATCATCCAAGATTTCTTCTGGTAGTTCAGTGTAAAATGTATTTTGCAAATGTTAAATTGAAGAACAGAAGGCTGCTTTTTCCCCCGGCCAGAATGAGAAGTACAGCAAGCTAGGTTATAATTTTTAATGAGCCAATGCACAGAAGAATGACTCTTCACTGTTTGAGAGGGAGGAAAATCTTTAACTGGCACAGGATGTGGGTTAACCAGACAGTTACTTGTAGAAACTGAATTATTCTCGAGTCTATGAATTCAAGGCTTCAAATCTCTCATTTCAAAACAAAGTCTGGAAGTGTACTTTGCTTCATTAGCAGGAAAAAAGTGATACTTGATCATATTCTTCCCCTTTAGTTCCTGCAATGACATAATTCCTGATCCTTCTTCACCAAGATCAGAGACATACTGGAGACTGCTCAGTGTTACTTTTGCATTTTAATCACCTCTTTATTAGAATCATCTGTTCACCAATTATTTTTATCCAAGTTTGCCCTGATAAATTGCAGAATGGGGGGAAACAAACCAGTGTAAGAGGTAGTTTGTCTTTCATCTTTTTCTCTGTTCTAGCGCACACCAAAATATATTATTACACTTGACAGGAATAGACAAATTAAGCTCTAATTAGAATCCTTCTTTTCTTCTCCAGTATATAGCAGGATGACAGAAAGGTACATAACACACTTTAACAACCTATTATATGCAGGTGTTTGGGAGAGGACATAGGATACAGAAAGACTTAGTAAACTACTGATCCAGAAGCCCAGACACTTTGAACAAGGCACAAGAAGAAACTACTTCCCAGTAATAAACTAGGGAAGGAGCCAGACCCACACCTATCACTTTCCTACCCGCAATGACAAGCCGGAGCGGACAAACAAGGGGGACTACTCCTATCATGTGATGAAAGGAAGGTTAGGGCAACACCACCCTTCTCCCCTACAGGGCGTAAGGGGAGAGAACACTAAACCTACTTGTGGGTTCTACCAAGAAACTTCCCCGCAGCACCATGTCTGCACCCCCACAGTCCCCCTCCCTCCCTCCCTGCACCCCCCTCCTAGTCCCCCTCCCTTCCTCCCTGCACCC